GCTATGAACATTGGTGTGCATATATATCTACTTGTTTTATGGCTCATATTTCTACTGGGTAAATACCAAGTAGTGGAATTGCTGGATCATACGGTATTTCTATTTCCAACCTTCTGTGGAAGCGCCATATTGCTTTCCAGAGAGGTTGGACCATTTTGCAAGAGGATTAACTATTGAAGGTATTGAAATAGAGCACAAAACATTAATGTACACTTGACAGTATCAAAACAGGAATGTTTACCTTACACACTATAACTCAGTATATCTTTTGAATGAATGAGGGGAGTGTCCGAAGGCTCAAATATGCACACTTAACAATATATAATCCTGGCTTACTTTATGTCTCACCAATAGTTATAGTTGTTTCATAAAGTTGTAAAGCATGAGTGGAATTTTAGTTCTAGAATCTTCTTCTCTGAAAACCTATCTTTTAGATTCAAAGAACAAAAGTTAGTAGCATATGCTATATGGCATAGTCATGTCACATGCTGCTTGATCAAACTGAACAATAGCATTTGCTACCCAAACAAATTACGTAAAACAGGGGGAAAATATGACTGGGTAAATAGTAAAGAAGAATAAAGCTCTTTATAGCATAACTTTCTGTTTTTCTTTTAGGAAAAAAAAGTGTTGTGGTATGATAAAACATGTGACTGAGGATGAGAAGACATAGATAAGAGTTTTGCTTTAGCCCACTAGATCATTCTGTGACTATGGCAGTCTGCCAACTGTAGATTTCCCTTTCCTTCTATAATGCAGAGCTTATCTTTCATTTGCCTCTGGTTTGGGAATGTAGAAAACTGGTTATAATAGTACACACTTCTAGGAAAATGTCATAACACACATTTTTAAAGTATACTTATAATTTCTGTCCTCTAAATTTTCTCTTTTACCTGACTTGTTTTTTTCTTTTCAGGGATCTGTTTAATGTCAAAATAAATGAAAGACTTTTCCCTCCCCACACCACCCCCATAAAGGTATACTATATGGCTAGGTCCACCACTCATCTGTCACTTTGCTGTACTGTGGTGGTTTGCATATTGCTGTGATTCTGGAAGCTATGCCTTCAGTATTATAAATACCAGCAGGGTCAGCCATGGTGGACAGGTTTCAGATAAGTTTCCAGATGAAGGCAGACTAGGAAGAAGGAAAGACAGAGCATTTCCAAATATTCAGTCACTGAAAACCTTATGAATAGCAGTGGAACTCTGTCAGCACTAGAATATTGAACATTGAAACATGAAGAGCAGCAGAATACTGTCAGATATAGTGCTGGAAAATGAACTCTTTAGGTTGGAAGACACTCAAAATACGACTGCCTACTCAAAGTAGAGTTGGCTGTGATCATGGAGTAAATAAAGCCTTTGGGACCTTCATTTGCTGATGGGGCACAACTCAAAATGAAGAGAAACAGCTGTAAACACCCATTAATAGTCAGGACATGGAATGTACATACTATGAATATAGAATAATCGAAACTTCTCAAAATGAAATGGAACATATAAACATTGATATAATAGGCGTTAGTAAGCTGAAATGGACTATCATATGGCCATTTTGAATTTGACAGTCACATGGTTTACTATGCCAGAAATGACAAATTAAAGAGGAATGGTGTCTTGAAGTACTACGCTGTCTGTGATAGGATAATATCCATACACTTAGAAGACCAATTAATACCACTATTATGCCAATTTATGCACCAACCACTAAAGCCAGTGAGGATGAAATAGAAGAATTCTACCAATTTCTTCAGTCTGAAATTGCTCAAACATGCAATCAAAATGTATTAATAATTACTGATGATTGGAATGGAAAGGTTGGAAACAAAGAGGAAGGACAGAGCCAAACTATGACCTCAATATATCCCACCTAAATTTAGAGATCATCTGAAGAACAGACTTGATGCATTAGACAATAAAGACTGAAGACCAGAAGAGTTGTGGGATGTTATAAAGAACATCATACTGGAAAAAAGCAAAAGGTTACTAAGAAGATAAGAAAGAAAGAAAAGACCAAAATAGATGTCAGAAGAGACTCTGAAACTTGCTCTCCAGTCTAGAGATGCTACAGTAAATGGAGAAATGAGGAGGTAAAAGAGCTGAATAGAAAATTTCAAAGAGCAGCCCGAGAAGACAATGTCAAATATTATAACAAAATGTACTAATTCCAGAATTAGAAACCAAAAGAGAAGAACATACTCAGCATTTCTGAAGCTGAGGGAACTGAAGAAAAATTTCAAGCCTTGACTTGCAATATTGAAGGATTCTATGGACAAAATATTGATGCAGAAAGCACCAAAAGAAGATGGAAAGAATATACAGAGTCACTGTACCAAAAAGAAATAGTTGATATTCAGCCGTTTCAAGAGGCAACATATGATGAAGAGCCAGTGATATTGAAGGAAGAAGATCAAGGTGCACTGAACACATTGACAAAAAAAAAAAAAAAGCCTCTGGGAGTTGATGGAATATAAATTAAAATCATTCAACAAATTTATGCAGCACTGGAAACACTCACTCTTCTGTGCCAGGAAATTTGGAAGACAGCTATGTGGCTAATTGATTGGAAATGATCCATATTTGTGCCCATTCCAAAGAAAGGTGACCCAGTAGAATACAGAAATCATCAAATAATATAATTAATGTCTCATGCAAGTAAAATTTTGCTAAAGATAATTAAAAAATGGCTGCAAACATACATTGACAGAGAACTTCCTGAGGTTCAAGCTAGATTCAAACAAGGACATGGAACAAGGGATATCATTGCTGACATCAGATAGATCTTGGCAGAAAACAGACTATACCAGAAAGATGTTTTCCTGTATTTTATTGACTATGCAAAGACTTTTTGGTTATGTGGATCATGACAAGTTATGGACAACATTTCAGAGAATGAATATTCCCAAATACTTAATTGTGCTCATAGGAACCTGTACATAGACCAAGAGGCAGTTTTTCAAACAGAACAAGGGAATAGTGAATGGCTTAAATTAGGAAAGGAGTGCACTAGGGTTGTATTCTGTCATGAGACTTATTTAATTTGTATGCTAAGCAAATAATCCATGAAACTGAATTATATGAAGAAAAATGTGATATCAGGACTGGAGGAAGACTCATTATCACCTCTGATATACAGATGATCCTGGCTTGCTTGCTTAAAGCAAAGAGGACTTAAAGTACCTACTGCTGAAGATTAAAGACCACAGCCTTCGGTATGGGTTGCACCTCAATGTAAAGAAAACAAAAATCCTCACAACTGGACCAATAAATGGCATCCATATAAACTGAGAAAAGTTGTCAAAGACTTCATTTTGTTCAGATCAACCATCAACACTCATGGAAGCAGCAGTCAAGAAATCAATTGGCGTATTGCATTAGGCAAAGTTGCTGCACAAGACCTCTTCAGAGTGTTAAAGAGCAAAGATAGTTTGAGGATTAAGGTGCACCTGACCCAAGCCATGGTATTTTTAGTAACCTCATATGCATGTGAAAGACAATGAATAAGGAAGACCACACAAGAATTGATGCATTTGAGTTATGGTTTTGGAGAATATTAAAAGTACAATGGACCACCAAAAGAACAAACCAATCCATTTTTGGAAGAAGTACAGCCAGAATGCTCCAGAAGCTAGGATATATTGTAGTATGGATCAGCCCCTATAGAAGGATATAATATTTGGTAAAGTGGAGAATCTGAGAAAAAGAGGAAACCCCCCCCCCAACTAAATGGATTTGCACAGTGGCAAACAGCAATGGGGTCAAACGTAGCAGTGATTGTGAGGTTGGCGCATGACTGGGCAGTGTTTCATTCTGTTGTGCATAAGTTGAGTCAGTATCAACTCGATAGTATCTAAAAACAATATGGTTATATGTATACCTTTAACTGTTGTTTATGAAGTTTCCTAAGGAATATAGATGAAAGATCCTATTAGATTTTACAGTGCTATATTCTTAATGAGACTTCTGGTGTGGTGCTGTAGGATCAGCACTGGACTGCAAAACACAAGGTTGGCGTTTAAACCCACCAGCTAATCCTTGGACACCCTATACAGGGTTGTTATGATTCAGAACTGATTCTATGGCACTAACAACAACAACAACATATTCTTAGTGAAGCCAGTTATTAGTAAGATATAATTTTCTGGATCTTAAGCTTAATTTATTAGAAAAACTTGTTTACCTTTACCTTTAAATCTTAAAACGTTTCTTCTTCCTTTTTTCCTGATTCTTTCTTTCTTTTTTGGCTACTGTTTTCCCTGCTTCTATTTTACAATTCTAATCAGCTTTATGTCCACTTTTAGCAAGGCTAATTTGACCACAGCAGTCATTTGGCCACAGGCAATCTGCATTCTTGTTTGGTGTTAGGAATGTATTTAGTTGTCTGCTTAGATTAATATGGATCATAGGGAAAAAAATATTCTGAAAAGCTTGACCCAGAACATCCTAAAGAAATAGAGTAGTCGTTGCTGGGTCTCTTAGTTCATTTATATCACAATTTCCTTTGTCAGAGAGAAGAAGCTGATCAAGGTACACCAGCTCAAAAGAATAAATATCTGGAAGCAATAGTTATAATTGAACATATGCAGCAGAAGTTACTGTAAGTATGAAGCACCAGAATGGTAAGAGGCAGAAAATTGCTGACCAGGAGGCTTGACTGGTATATTGGAACTTCTTGATTTACCTTTGGTAGTTCAGTTTCCTTCATTCTCATTAGTGGGATGGGCATCTTCAAATCTTCTAGTAGAGGCAATGGACTAAAGTGCTTTAGCAGGACTGTCTGTCCTGCCCACAGTGGATCTGAAAGAAGTTAGTGTGTGTGTGGTATGTGGGAAGTGTCTGGAATGGTCCAATGCCATGTAAGACATGATTTAGTGAAATAAATGAAGCTGGGAGAAACTATTGTAGCTTGTGAAGAAATGTTACATGCCTAAAGACTTCTTGTTGTTAAGTGCTTTCAAGTTCCGATTCATAGCCACTGAGGGTTTCTGAGGAGCGGCTGGTAGGTTTGAATCCTGGGCCTTGAAGCTAATAGTTCCAGTGCTTATCCTTCAACACCACACTAGGACTCCATCTAAAGACTAGGAAGAGTTAAATGACTGAAAATAGCATGGTGTAGAGACATATACTTGTGCTCTAGTGAATTAAGCATATTTTAGACTGGTTTTCTCAACTATAAAAGTTTTTTAGAGCTACTATAAAAGAGACACTGTTGAATTTAGTTTGCTAGATCACATTAATTAAGAGAAGTCATAATCAACTGCTAAAAAGTATTCCATTGCTATTGAAGCCATCACTCGTCCATCAGTTTGTTGTACTGTGCTTGCTTGTATGTTGCTGTTATGCTAGAACTATGCCAACAGTACTTGAAATGCCAACAGGGTCCTCCTTGGTGGACCGGTTTCAGCAGAGTAAGACTTAGTCCTCCAGACTGAGACAGATTAAGAAGAAGGACATGGTAGCCTACTTCTGAAAAAAAATTGGCCACTAGAAAACCTTATGAATAGCAGTGGAACATTGTCTAATATAGCACCAAAAGTCGAGCCCCTCAAGTTGGAAGGTATTCATATTAAATCCAGGGAACACCTGCTTCCTCAAAGTAGAGTTGACCTTACTGATATGGAATGGAGAAAAGCTTTCAGACTCTTCATTTATGGATGTGGCATGACTCAAAATTAGAAGAAACAGCTACAACCATCCATTAATAATCAGAATGTAGAACGTATGAAGTTTGAATCTAGAAAAAATTGGAAGTAACCAAAAATGAGATGGAATGCATTAAGATTGATATCCTAGGCATTATTGAGGTAAAGTGGACAAGTATTGGCATTTTGAATTTAACAATATCGTCTACTTTGCTGGGAATGACAGATTGAAAAGAAATGGTATCACATTCATCATCAAAAAGAACATTTCCAGATGTATTCTAAAGTACAACACTGTCAGTGATAGGATAGTATCTATATGCCTACAAGGAAGACCAGTTCATACAACTATTAGTCAAATTTACTCACAAACCACTAGTGCCAAATATGAAGAAACTGAACATTTTTATCAACTTCTGGAGTCTGAAATTGATCAAACATGAATCAGGATGCACTGATAATTACTGGTTATTGGAATGCAAAAATAGGAAACAAAGAGAAAGAAATGGTAATTGGAAAATACAGCTTTGCTGTTAGAAATGATGCTAGAGATTACATGGTAGAATTCTGCAAGACCAGTGGCTTACTTCATTGCAGATACCTTTTTAAATATAAATGGCAGCTATACATGTGACCCTCATCAGATGAAATAAACAGGAATCAAACTGACTGCATATTATGAGAAGGGAAGATGGAGAAGCTCAATGTCATTAGCTAAACAACATCAGGGATGGCCTATGGGAACAGCCCATCAGTTACTTATATGCAAGTTAAGGTTGAATCTGAAGAAATAAAACAAACCCATGAGAGCCAAAATATGACCTTGAGTATACCCATCTGAATTTAGAGACCTTCTGAAAAATGAATTTGACACAATGAACACTAATGACCACAGACCTAATGTTTGTAAGATGACACCAAAAATATCGTACATAAAAAACCCAAAAGGTCACTAGACAGACAGGAAAGAATGGATAAATATAAAAATAGATGTCATAAGAGACTCTGAAATTTGCTTTTGAATGTAAAATTGATAAAGCAAGAGGAAATAAAAATATAAAGCAAAAGCAGAGCAGAAGATTTGTGCAAAGACTAGAATTAGGAAATCAAAAGGAAAGAAAATGCTTGACATTTCTCAAGATGAAAGAACTGAAGAAAAAATTCAAGCACTGAATTCAATATTGAGGGATTCATTGGGCAAAATATTAAACTATGCAGGATGTATCAAAAGAAAATGGGAGGAATGCACAGAGTCACTGTAATAATAAGAAGAATCAGTTGATGGTCAACCATTTCAGGAGGAATCATATAATTCAGTCATCACTGAAGGCATTAAAGAAAAACAAGGCTCTAGGAATTAATGACACCACACGTCTGTCAGTTTGTCATACTGTGATGGCTTGTGAGTTGTGATTCTGAAAGCTATGCCACTGATATTTTAAATACCAGCAGGGTCACCAGTGGAGGACAGCTTTCAGATGAGCTTCCAGATAAAGACAGTCTAGGAAGAATGAGTGACAAACTGCTTCCAAATATTTAGTCACTGAAAACCTTATGAATAGTAGAGAAACACTGTCAGATATAGTGGTGGAAAATGAGCCCCTCAGGTTGAAAGGCACTCAAAATGCGACTGGGAAAGAGCTGCCTCCTCAAAGTATAGTTGACCATGATGACGAGTACGAAGTAAAGCCCATCGGAGAAGAACCCATGGGACCTTCTTTTGCTGATGGGGCACAACTCAAAATGAAGAGAAACAGCTGTAAACATCCATTGAAAATCGGAACATGGAATGTATGAAGTATGAATCTGGGAAAATTGGAAGTTGTCAAAAATGAAATGGAACGCATAAACATCGACATCTTAGACATTAGTAAGCTGAAATGGACTAGTATTGGCCATTTTGAATCTGACAACCACGTGGTTTACTATGCCGGGAATGACAAACTGAAGAGGAATGGTGTTGCATTCATTGTCAAAAACAACATATCCAGAACAGTCATGAGGTACAATGCTGTCTGTGATAGGATAATAAACATGCGCCTACAGGGAAGCCTAGTTAATACCACTATTATTCAAATTTATGCACCAATCACTAAAGCCAGTGAGGACAAAATAGAAAATTCTACCAATTTCTTCAATCTGAAATTGATCAAACGTTCAATAAAGATGTATTGATCATTACTGGTGATTGGAATACAAAGGTTGGGAGCAAAGAGGAAGGATCAGTAGTTGGAAAATATGACCTTGGTAATAGAAATGATGCTGGAGGTCGCATTATAGAATTCTGTAAAACCAATGATTTGTTCATTTCAAATACCTTCTTAGGAAAGAATAAGAGACGAATATACACATGGACCTCACTAGATGGAATACATAGAAATCAAATTGACTACATCTACAGAAGAGAAGATGAAAAAGCTCCATATCATCAGTGAAAACAAGACCAGGGGCAGACTGTGGAACAGACCATCAATTATTCACATGCAAATTCAAACTGAAGCTGAAGAAAATGAAAACAAGTCCACTAGAGACGAAATATGACCTTGAATATATCCCACCTGAATTTAGAGATCATCTGAAGAACAGATTTAATACATTAAACACTAAAGACCAAAGACCAGAAGAGTTGTGGGATGACACCAAAAACATCATGCCAGGAAGAAAGCAAAAAGTCATTAAGAAGACAAGAAAGAACGAAAAGGTCAAAATGGATGTCAGAAGAGACTCTAAAACTTGCTCTCCAGCATAGAGATGCTAAACCAAATGGAAGAAATGAGGAGGTACAAGAGCTGAACAGAAAATTTCAAAGATCAGCTCAAGAAGATAAAGCCATATTACAACAAAATGTACAAAGATCTGGAATCAGAAAACCAAAAAGGAAGAACACACTCAGCATTTCTCAAGCTGGGGGAACTGAAAAAAAAATTTAAGCCTTGACTTTGTTATTGAAAGATTCTCTTGGCAAATTATTGAATGATGCAGAAAGCATCAAGAGAAGATGGAAGGAATACACAGAGTCACTGTACCAAAAGGAAATGGTTCATGTTTAACCATTTCAAGAGGTAGCATATGATTAAGAGCCAATGATACTGAAGGAGGAAGTCCAAGGTACATTGAAGGAATTGACAAAGAACAAGGAACCAGGAACTGATGGAATAAAAATTGAAATCTTTGAAGAAAGTGAGGCGACACAGAAGGCACTCACTCATCTATGCCAAGAAATTTAGAAGATGACTATCTGGCTGTCTGATTGGAAGAAATCCATATTTGTGCCCATTCCAAAGAGAGGTGACCCAACAGAATTAGGAAATCATCAGACAATCTCTTTGATATCCCATGCGAGTTAAGTTTTACTGAAGGTAATACAGAAATGGCTGCAAGCATACATTGACAAAGAACTTCCAGAGGTTCAAGCCAGATTCACCACTGGACCACTGGATCAATTAACCACATTCTTATCCACGGAAAAAAGAATGAAGGACTTCATTCTTCTTGGATCAACTATCAACATTCATGGAAGTAGCAGTCAAGAAATCAAATGATGTATTGCCTTAGGCAAATCTGCTGCACAAGACCTTTTGAAAGTGTTGAAGAGCAAAGATGTCAGCTCGAAGACTAATGTGCTCCTGACCCAAGCCATGGTATTTTCAGTAACCTCATATGCATGTGAAAGCTGGGCAGTAAGTAAAGAAGATGGTAGGAGAATTATTTCATTTGACATATGGTGTTGGAGGAGAATATTGAAAGTACCATGGGCTGCCAAAAGAACCAACAGATCTGTGTTGGAAGAAGTGCAGCCAGGGTGCTCCTTGGAGGTCAGGATGGCCAAACTTCGTCTCTCATACTTCGGACGTATTGTCAGGAGGGAGCAGTCACTGGAGAAGGATATCAT